ATCTTACAAAGGAGGACAACACTTGAACGGTTTCCTTTAGTTTATTTTGCTATCGAAGCTAATGTTAGCTAATGTGCTAAAAAGTTAGAATTACACAAAAATCCAATCTTCTTCTTAAAGGGATAGTTCGACATTTGGCAAATTCGCTTATTGCCGTAATCCCTATAGTCATATGGGTAGGTACATTACCTTTAATTGTCAGTGAAAACAAAATCAAAACTAATCAAATACACCATCAAATGACTCCAAAACGTTCTAGTCGACAACACGTGGCTTGTGCATTCCCCATGCTATGAAATAATAATGTGATATTACGAGACGGAGTTGTTTTGAAGCCAAATGCACAGCCGGAACTACATTCCAGACATACAGTACTTGCTGGGCGGAGTGATTTCAAACAGCGTATGTTTAGTGCAGTTACTCCCGTCATCAAAAAAACAAGTTTGTTGAGAAGAAGCCAGAATATACAGAGGAAGAGTTACAGGTTTTGGAAGAAGAGAGAGCAAGAAGAGAGGTTGAGGCTGCCGAGCAACCAGGGGCTGAGGGGAGACCCAGAGCCAGTGGTGTAAATGTGGGGCTTACTGGCCACTTTATTAGGTACACCTGTGCAATATAAATATAGCGTATGCCTCAAAATAATTACCGGAACACGGGGAGAACATGCTAACTCCACACTCATAAATCACCACAACTCCTGAGGGAACAACAACATAAAATGTTCCCTAGCAGTCTGTTTATCCCCAACAATGAGAAGTAATGCCAGTCACTTTACTATATGCTCTGGGCAAGCACTTATCCATAACATAACCACAACAACATTTGCATTTTAGCCTTATTTACCATGCTTGGGTTGTAGGCTAATGTTACTCAACACGGAGGTAACGTTACAGCAGAGAGATTGCTGAGCAAAATACACAAAGATCACTTACCACTCCTCCGGTAAAAAATGGCAGGAGCACACAAACATTTTCCGGACCATTTCCACAGGCGTGTTGGGGTCGATGTCCAGCACAAATAGCCATTGTTTCATCCTGTCCGTATTACTGGTTGGAACTACGTGAAACTTCACTTTGCTCCACGTCTTCGGCTTGTTACTGCAACCTTTTACAATGCATGTGTAAACCATGATTTACAAAAACACTTGTAAACTTTCCTCAAACCTTCTGCTGTGTCCAGCTGATGATACCGCAAATGGCTACAAGCAATAACAACGGCACTGTCTCAGCTGCGCACTGTGTCACTCCGCCCAGTGGTTTACTCAAGAAAGTAGTTCCAAGTATTTGCTTCATGTGTCGTAATGTTACTTAATTATACATTATTATTTCATAGTGTGGGAAATGCGCAAGCCATGTGTTGTCCACTAGAGCGTTTTGGAGTCATTTGATGGTGTATTTGATTAGTTTTGAGGGAGAGAGGGACCTGTACCGTTCACCTCCATTTCAGCGGGCAGCTCTGCCCCACCGATCTCAGAACAGCACGCACTGACAATTAAAGGTAACGTACCTACTCATATGACTATCAGGATTACAGCAATAGGCGAATTTTGCCTAAATGTTGAACTATCCCTTTAATACCTCCCCAAATTCTGATTAGGTGGACATGATAACCATTAATACACACATGTTCATTCCTACAACAGTAAATAGTTTTTCCCTAACCTGATATGAGTTGTGCACTGCACAAGATTTTTTGAGTCCTCAGTGATGAATGCTGGTCAAGTCATGTGCTTCATTACATTATGATTTATTTGCGAAGTCTGATTCCATAGAGTGCCTCAGGGATGATGATTTTGTAGGTCACCGCTAAAGTTAGCGTCACCTTGTTCCCTCTTCTGAAAGCTTATGGAATTTCTCAATTGGATTTTGGATTATTGCAAAAAATAAGCTGTGTGGAAAACAAAAGTTTATGATACTTACATGTTTTGTTCAGCAAAAAAATCTTCACAAATGAACACAACTCTTGTCATTTCTGAGGTGTAAATGCAATCGCCAGAGGTAAAAAGCTAACATTAGGCTATAGGCAAACTTGACTATGGTCGCATGGCTTCAGTGTCACCACAACTACGCTGTAAAGCTATGTTCAGCATGATACTGTTCGAAAGCCTCATTTAGCCACAAAGTAGCACCCGCCTTTTTTAAGATACGTAAAAGCCCTAAAATTTACGAGAGGTGTATTTACCGACATTTTTTTATGTCATAGAACAAAAGGTGAAAGTCTCTTAAGTTTGTGTCAATCACAGACCTTATTTTAGGCATCTAACCAAAATTCCATTAAAAAAAAAAAACACTGACTTTGTGACGAAGGAACTGGGAGTGCTTAAATGCAAACTAATTTTTGGAATTCACAACTTATTTTTGCACCACAATATTGCAATTTGTTTTTATTAATGCTAATTATCTACGTTACGCAGCCTAGCATAAAAACCTTTCTAGCATGTTTTGATTTCTTTGTTGTTGTTTTTTCCAAATTTCTTATGTTCTCAGAATTTGTAATACACAAATTGAAATGCACATATTTAGGTGCATGGAAAAGTACTTAAGCATGCATGAAATACCATGAATGAAAAGTAGTGTCTAGTGTGAATCAGTTCACATTCGCAAATTGGTCCAATCTCTTAGCGGTGAGCCTTGCTTAGTTAGCTTTCAGATCCCCAGTAGAACTTTATCAGCATGATGGGTCCTCCTAAATGCTGAATGTTGTAAATGGACAGACAGAAGCTAACACTATGTGAACTTTAGAAAAAAAAACAGGGGAAGTCAATGCCTTGTATCATTTACAGGATGTCGAAACACCCACTTTGAGGCTTGGAGCTTAGACGCTGTTCCACATGTGTGGAAAAATGTGTTTCCCCACTTCAGTATCTCCACTACACTGACTTGCTTATATGCTGTAGTGTCTTTAATTCTCCCCTAATCCTACATTTGTTTCCTTGTTTACTATCTCTGTACCCCTCCCATCTCCTGTCCCATCTTATGTAATCTTTACATCCTTAATGTCCCTCTCCTCTCCTGCTGTGTAGCCTAATCTCCCTCTTCCTTCTTTTCCCCAACAGCAGTCACAGGGACAGAGTTAGACTGCTCCTTTAAAGCTTTAAACCTCACTTGTGCGTTGCAAAACAAATATATCAAATTGCATATAAGGACCTCTTAAATCATAGTTTACAGTGAAAAGCATTCTACTTCCTTATTGAATCAAAAATTAAATGAATATGCTCTATTTTACAATGGATTTACCACACAGACTTCAAAATATTTTATGCCTCACTATTTAATTCTACAACCTAAAATGTTTTCTCTTCCACTCCTCTTACTGCATTAATAAAGCCCAGAGGCTGCTAGGAAGTCCACACTACAAACTTGGAGACATTTCCTCAGTAGTTGATCTGTTAATGACGTTGGAGGGATTTCTGGTAGTGGACTGGCAAAGGCCTAAAATGAGCAGTGAAAACTAAAGATTAGTGGGTTAGTGTAATACATGCTTACCAGCCAGTAGTACTAATGAGGCATCACTCTCTCTGGTTGACTAAATAAATCTTCTTAGCCTGTTGATCATTAACACAAAAATTAATTATCTGCCCTGTGGGATAAATCAAGATATGATTCTGGCTTTCATTATATGGCACAGTCTTTACACTTAAACAAGGAGAGGCCTTTTGGGAGCCCTAGATGTACTTTTCCTTCAGGGACCCCCATCTTCATCTAGCCCAGATCACAGCAGCTCAAACTGGAAGTATCAGCCATGTCATCCCAAAGTCCTCAAATCCATTTTCGCACTCTTCAGCGTCTCATAGCGCACACAGGGCACCCCTCAGTGTCTCTATGTGACGCTAAGCTGAAACACAAAACATTGTCTTCTGGTTTGACACAGGACATAGATACGTTAGTTACGTCCAGTGTGGAGGATTTAGCGGCATCTAGAAGTGTGGTTACAGAACTAATGTTGTGTCCACACTGGAGGTGGATAAAACAATTTGCACAAGTGAATTACATGTGAAGTCAATGTAAAGACACAACTAGACACGTATTCCTGCTGGGTGGGATTGTGGGTGCAACACAAAATATGCAAACTAAGTGGCATGAATATAGCAAGCAGTGTGATTTTGTGTCATATTGTGTGTTATTCGTGCTGTTGAAAAAGTTGAAAAATCTGAATTTCAGCAACCAATTCACACCGCGATAGCCAATCAGCATTGAGATCCTCAAGGGACGTATGACGCTAAGGACGTTCATTCATGGATTCAGTGATTTCATGTGCAACTGATGCAAGTTATTTGTGCGTATGAAGCGAGTCAACACAAAATATTGTAGTGAGAGTAATGCAATGCAAAAATTTGCACCGCGTGTGGAGGTGTGAAGACAATACAAAACTTGTGCCAAGGGTGTAGGAGAACTACAGTGTGTGATGCAGAAATGTAAATGGCCCTATCTAGAGCCAATGTATGGTTTGTGTGTTCTGGGCTATTGAAGAACAACATGCCAGACTCTGTGGCAGAAGACCTGCTCCATATATAGTAATGAAAACACAACACTCTTACATTCAGGTGATCATACATTAATGAACACATTGGACCTTTAAAACAACACTGACTTTTAAAACAACATTGACTTTTGGTTTCACAGGGGACACAAACTGTGGTCTCCTCTGTGAAAGTCCTGCTTTGTTTGATACGTCCACCTCCTCTTCCTCCCGCCCTACAAAGACTTTCTTGCTTTTTATACTACATCAGTTGTTCTCAGCGTCAAATATTGCTGCGGATGGGTTTACACCGTCAGTTTAAACTCTGGTGCATCTCATAAAGATGCTAAAGAGTGCCTTTGCCATCAATATCAATCACCGAGGGTTATGACAAAGTGTCAGCCTTTGTCAACCTGGGGATGAGAATGTGCTGGCAGTATATACACATATGTGCATGTATCTCTAAGTGTATAATTTGAAAATGATGCACTGATGTTACATATGCTGCATATTTATATTGATCTCTGTCTTCTGTTTTCTCACAGTAACTTGTATGACTTCTACCACTATTTCTACATGCTGACAAACGTCCTGTTTTACGTCAGCTCAGCCATCAATCCAATCCTCTACAACCTGGTGTCAGCCACCTACCGCCAGATCTTCTTCTCCACGCTGCGCTACTTCTGCGTGCCCTGCCGCCATACACCCAGGAGGCACCCCCACCCCCTAACCCGCCACTCCATCAGCATCTCCAGTAACCATACCCTCTCCACCAACATTATCAAAGAGACGGCATACTGATTGAACTGCAATGGAATACACTTTCTGATACTATAAACCCATCTGCAGCCACCTTGTGATTTCTCCACCAACTTCATAGAGGAAATTCTGGAACTGGTTTGGAGACTGTTGGCACAGGCTAAGCCAGCACTGGGATCACCATCATTGTCATGTGGGGTCAAGTACCCACTCTGAAACCACTGTGATCTAATTTCAGATGCACACTGTATTATGTGTTTGTGTGTTGTGTCTTTATTCATTTAACATGAGTTTGTGGGATTAAAAAAAAAAAAATGATTGGATGATGAAAGAAAAAAAAAGGTGAAAAGGATAGACAAACAGAGTGATAAAGCATCTCTTAAAATGGAAACTGATATGTAAATGTTTTGTACAGTATATTTCTATGTACATGTTTTTAATGGACCCATCATTCACACTTGCTTGGTGTTTGTACAGTGTTCATGGCTCTACTGTTTCAGTGTTTTCTAAGAATCAACCTCTTGAAAGTACTTTCTCTACAACAAATGACCTCTGGCAATACTTTCACCCCAACAAAAGTTCTGATGTAACCCTCCATTGTGCTATTTTTGGTGAGGATCTGACGATAAACTGGCTTTGATGTTAGAAAAAAAGGGGCAGAGAGTTTGTATTTCTCTTTCCTGAATCCAAGTTGCATTGACAGGAGGGAAGAGTCTTGCATCATTACTACTATCTTCTCTTGCCTTGCTTTGTTCCAAGCAGCATTAGAGTCCAGGTGAAGCAAAATCACTGATTTCTTTCTAGATACATTATACTTGTTAGAAAATTGAGCACATAGCAGCAGTGTCATCTCCTTCAGTCCCTGTGTGTGAGTGACAAGTTTGCTACATTCAGTAAGCTCTATTAACTCTGAGTCTAACAAATACACTATTAGCAAGTCTGTTAAGGGCAACACAAGCCAAATAGCTGTCACTAACATAACTTTCAGTCTTTTAGCTCAAATCGGTGAACCAGCCCTGCCGTTACTGCTTACTGTTGTGGGTGTGTTCATTCATTCATTCATTCATTCATTCATTCATTCATTTTCCATAATCCCTTGTCCTGTTAGGGGTCGCGAGAGTGCTAGGGCCTATCCAAGCTGACACTGGGCGAGACGCAGGGTATGCCCTGGACAGGTCACCAGACTATCAAAGGGCTGACACATAGAAAAGGACAACCATACACGCTCACGTTCACACATACAGGCAATTTAGAGTCACCAGTTAACCGAGCCTGCATGTCTTTGGACTGTGGGAGGAAGCTGGAGTACCCAGATTAAACCTACCCTGATATGGGGAGAACATGCAGAAGTGATGTGCCACTATAGACCATGCTACTGAGTTAGCTGTCACTTTGCAGCAGCTCGTTCGTCAGCTCAGCCTGCATCTCAGAGCACAGAATACTAGTTATTTTTTCAGCATTTTGAAACCCAATTTATATACTTGGTGATTTTTGTAAAAGTAGTTTAAGTAAAAACTTTTTTGAACATAGGGTGAGTACAGTTGATAATAGATCCCTAGACTCTGAAATAAGAATGTGAATGAAATTGAAAATATTGCATACAAAGATTATGATTACTTCTGGTAATTGTTTTCTGCATTCATTAAAAAAACGTGAAGTAAGTGTGTAGACAGAGGAGAAGTGGCTGTAGGTGACTCTTTGAAGTATTTGTACATAAGTGACCATGTGGACTCGTTAGAAATTAATTAATGCAAAGACACAAGTATGCTTACCTGGAATATAGTGTCGCATGTGTGAGCAGAAAAGGAGCACTTCAACAGTTACAGAGCACCCACGCTAATATCTCCCACCAGCTGCTGCTTGAGCAGTTGGAGGCAGGAACAGATCAGGGGACTCAAACATTTTCTTTAAGAGCAAAACCAAGATGTGAAACAATCTGGATTCTCTGTCATTATGGCACTCAAGAAGTGCTATGGGGGATTAGAAAATCGGCATTGCCATCATTTATCCATGATTCAGCAACAGCATTTTGAAAAGCCAGAAAATTGAGCTTGTGCAAGGGGCCACTCTTTTAACCAGAATGGTTATTACTAGCCCAGTGCACTTAACCAATATCCCTAAAAAATTCTGCACCTTAATGTTCAGTGCCAATGTTTAGTGCCAGTGTGAGAAGTAGTGTGCCCTTTATGTAGCATGGCAGAAAGGAGGTGGAGGTCAAGGTGCTTACAGACCTGCAGTTAATGTTTGCCATTCTTATGCCTCCATGCTGGGAATATCCATGCCTGGAGTCATTATGTATTTGGGTATATCCCGTGAATGCAGTATCCCAAATTTAAGTATTTCAAATTTAACACAAATATCCACTTTGACTTGAATTGATTAGGTTACAGCGGTCAAACGTCAAGGTCACTGTGACCTTGTCTATCTTATTCTCATGAACGTGACATCTCAAGAACTCCCTGAGGGATTTTATTTATTATTTTTTTTCAAATTTGGCACAAGCGCACACATGTCAGCTCAGTGTACAGAGAGGCAGTCAGAACTACAGGCTACAATGAGGCTAAAACAACTTTTTATGTCGGGGCTTCAGGACACTTGGGTCACTACGGAAGAGCAGTATAGAGGTATTTTGTGGTTTCAATTATGTGCTCTTGGATGTTTTAATCTGGGTCGCCGTCAGCCATTAGGTGTGCAGTTGTGCTGCTACCCCCTCTCCCCTTGGATCTCTGCAAGGGATGTGAGGACTCTTTAACTTCACCTGAGCTTCCCTCAGTATATGGGTGAGTAGATAGTGGCTGAATTTTCATTTTTGGGTGCACTATCCCTTTAAAGCAAGGTGAAGGGGGTGGGGCATGATTTATATATTATCAAGAAATCCGACAGGCTCTCATTTTAAAAGCAGACCTTTGCCTTAACATTAACCATACCTCAACCAGAGTGAATTTGCCATAACCTCAGAATTCTAAAAACATTAGCAAAGAAGCTAAAAAGCACTGTCACTGGATGTAATCAAGAATTATGCTGAAATGTCCAGACATTTTTGCCTGGCAATGGCTTAATTATACACACAAAATACCACTAAGAACAGGGAATACAATTATTGTTGAGTAATTTCCTATCTAAGTAAATCCACATTTGATACAGGACCCTGAGTGAGAAGCTGTTTTAATGGATCATTGTAATCATATTAGTTGAAATCTGCCAAGTTTTCCTCTGTAGAAAATTAATGGACAGCCAGTGACTTGGTGCTTGTCTTGTCATTATTCTGAGGCATAGGTGTTTACAGTGTGTAGAGTATGAGGGCAATGCTGTCTTCATGCAGGTACTTGTATGTTCCCCGTAGAGTACACGACTTACAAATGATAGCACTTGTGAATGTGCTTCTGAGGAAATCAGATTCTGTTTTTGCTGTAATATAAACAAGTAGGATCATTAAATCAGCAACGCTGGACCATTTTATTCACAAGAGGTTCTTTTCAGCTGATGAGGGAGCCCAGCCTGATTTCAGTTTACTACAAAATGGAGATCAATTGATTTCATTATAAAAGGCTCTAGTAATTACAAGGTCGCAGCAGCCCAATCATTTGATGTCTGCACTGTTTATGTTACTGAAGTCCTTCTTTCCTTTTTTCTTTTTTTAATCTTGCAGCTTGTTTTTATGTTTGCCAGGTAAAAACCAACGGTTGAAATGATGTATTATGAGTGTTCACAAAATCCCATGAATGAGTAGAACCAATTTAGCAGTCTTGTCATCATTAAAGAGTCTACAACAATGCAGGCAGCTCTGTGAGGCTGTAGCATAGATTTATAACAATAACTAGATACAAGATCCCAAGGCGGCGCCTATCCAATCCAATGGCGATGCGCCCCTGCCACATATGCCAAAAAAAAATGTCTAGCCCTCAGGTTTACTTCCACGGTATGCGGCCACTGCATATGCGCAGTACTATTTCTCCTACTGGCTCTGCCCATGAATTCCTGCTTTGCTCATAGACTTCACAATGTGATGACATCACAGATTTCAATCACTTTTTTCAGCGTATGAGAAGTTTTACAAATATAAAACCTTGATCTTTCTTAATAGAATTATTGCCCTTTTTTGCATTTTGTGGTATCCTGTCAAACGTTTTACAGACAACTTTTTTATAAAGGTGGTCTATGGGAAAATGTTTTTTGGGCCATGGAGAATTTTTCCACTACAAAGCCATGACTGGCCCCTGGGAATAATTGGAAGCAAGGCTGAGCTGCTTTCCTGGGGGCCTGGGCTGCACTCAGGCACAGACGTACTCTGAGTTCAAAGTTAACATCAGCATTCTAACATTCTTACAGTGACACTGCAAACATGTTAATGCTAAGCAGTTTGCCAATTTAGCATGCTGACATTTGCTAATTAGCACTTAACATAACAGAGCAACAGAGGCTGATAGAAATGTCATTTAATTTGCAAGTATTTAGTAATTAACTGGGGAACGAGAATCCATCCAATAGCTGCTGAGAAATTTTTCACACACACACACACACGCACACGCACACGCAAACACACACACACAGACACACACACACACACTCAAGCACGCACACACAAAGACAAATGTAAACCCTATGGTAGCACTTATGGAAAAGTGAGGGGTCACCAAAGTCATTAAAGCTGAGATTAGAAAAAAATAAAATGCCTTTTAATGCTTTACATCACATCCACATCCATATTTTTCACCTATTCAACAATGTATGCCTAAAAAAATACAAAGTAAAATTTCTTCATATCAAAATCCAATCATGTTTTTACTTTGTAAAATATGACATGTGCTTATGTAAGCTAGTACCAACCAATTTCAACTAATAATATCATGACATCCACCCATCAATCGATCTGCAACTTTAGTCGCACAGAGCTGAAATTATTCATTGGCTGGCTAGCAACAACATGCTTCATTGGTATGTCTTTGGGTGTTGGCCACCACAATTGTTATGTTCTGTCCTCCCAAAATAGGTATAGTTAGGGGTCCGCTGCCTAGAATTTCTTCACTTTGATATCTGTGACAGTTTCAGGTTATGCACAAGGCATCTTATAGTTATATTAATACTGCTTGAGCATCAAATGGACTTTGTCTCTTTTTCCCATGGATGTATAAAGAGAACCATGCATACCATGTTGAAGGTTGGGCCCCATTCATCCCTATTAAATTTGCTCGGTGGTGCACAAAGCCAAAAAAGTTCAACTGCCATGTACAAAATTACGTGCATGATCAGTGCTGCTTCCACATTGTGTGGCCAATGGAGAAGGCTCAGTAGAAACTTCCATCGGTCAAGATGGCAACTTCCAGTGTAGCGCTCCACTAACTTGAATTAAAGGAATAAAACGATTCAATCTTGCAGCTCCTCCTGACCTTCACAGTGTTATCAGACAAATGGATTAATTCCCAGTAGTGAAACAAGTTGTTCTGTGAGGGTTGTTGGGGAAAAAGTATCACTGATTTAAAGACATCTCTTGCCACACGAGACAATAGGAAGTCTTTTTGAGTCCAAAGGCATGACATGACAGTGTTATAATGAAGGTAATTTAGTCTATTAAGTCTAAATTATCCTTTCAACATCACTAACAGGTCTTAGTGAGCATTCATGATGTTTAACCACAAGGTGGCTGCTCTGCAGTGGGCTATTTATAATTATCTAATCCTTTAACTTTGCAGCATCTGTGGTGAAAATAAATGAATATGTGCTTGGAATCCATAGCTACACTAGCTAGAGAGACTCAGGACTAGCCACTGCTATAGAGGTTCAGCAAAATTTAGATGAAAAGGCACTAGGCCATAGAGGTATGGTGCACATTTTAGTTGATAAAAACATTTGTACAACTGAACATGGTATATGAATATCAAAATGCTAGAAAAAAAGAACTGTTATTTATTTCCATATATTGGTTATCACTTCTGTGTACTCAGTATTTACCTCTTTAATGTATTACACCTACTTTTGCCAACTAAAACTACAATGATCCCCGGGACTGCTGTACTGTAAAAGTACTGCTACCACCTTCTCAATGCATAACACAGCAGTATAAGAAAGCTCAACCTCTGTGTATTATTTTTATTATGCCATGGTTGTTTGTTTAATATAAAGTACTTTATTATTATTAGTGACAGTTATTAGCTGTGCTTTGTATTGGTTGATATGACTCTGTGTTCCTGTAAAGTATCTGTGTTCTTGTTGACTCTGTGGAGGCTTTAGCCACTTTCTATGTTTCATATAAAACTTATTTCAGCCAAACATCAGATTCCCTAACCCAAAGATCCACCAGACATACTGAATGAAATATATTAAAAAAAACTGTATAGCCCTTTAATTTTGCAAACTATTTAGATACGTTTTCTGTACTTTTCTGCACAGATCTATAAATAGATTATAATCTCAATGTGTCTTGGCCCAGTGTT